GTGGCTTTCCGCCTCCGGAAGCGGCGTCCGTGCAGGCGGTCCGGCCGCGCACCGGCCCCTCCGAGGAGTCGCGAGGAACGGATGTGTCCCAGCAGCTGCCGCTCACCGGCACGGTGCCTCTGCTCCTCTTCCATCTGCGTTTGCTGGGTTTTTTTCCTCCTTTCTCAACTTGTTCTCTCTCTTTCTTTCCTCCTTCCCTGCACCTGCTCTGTCGGCTCTTCTCTGTCCTTCGCCTGCCCCTGTCCCCACTCCCCCACCTGATGGCCCCTGCTTGGGATGTAGTAAATGTGGTGACCTAGAGGAAGAGCTGAAAATTGTCACCAACAACTTGAAGTCCCTGGAGGCCCAAGCTGACAAGGTAGGACCTGGCTGAGCTGGGGCTGGGACAGGGGCCAGCTGTGCATGGGGGCTGGCAGGGGACCGGGGGGGCCGGCAGGCGGCGCCCGGGGTGACAGCCAGCCGCAGCCGTGCCGCCTGGCTCACGAGCGCCGTCTCTCTCTGCAGTATTCCACCAAGGAGGACAAGTACGAGGAGGAAATCAAGCTTCTAGGGGAAAAACTGAAGGAGGTAAGGGATTTGGGGCAGGGCACCCCAGAAGAGGGGTTGGCAGGCAGGAGGCCCTGCGCTTGCCTCTGGGATGCTCTGGCAGGGCCCCTCTGCCCTCGGGAGGGTCCCTCAGGCCTCGAGAGGTCTTCCTGGACCCTCTGGAGGGCCAATAGTTGTGTCCCTGGGGAGGATCCCCTTGGCAGAGGCAGGCACGGCCCCGTTAGGGCACGTCTTCCCGCCGTGCTGCGCCCTGCTCCTGGTGCACCGCTCACCTCTGCTCCCACGGCGCCAGCTCGGCCTTTGGTAAAGCAAAGAAACGGAGTGCTGGAAAAGGCATGAGGCAGTGGTCAATTTAGACTGGAAGACATCTTGGAGGTTATTGCAAAGAATGGGAAAAAAGGCTGTAGGCCAGGCAGAGCATTAGTGCATTAGTCTGACCTTAGCACTTGAGTGGCTGCCCTGCAAAAAGTCCCCTTCCAGCCCCCCCTTCTCCGGGGAAGCGTACCTGGTGTCCCACTCCGGCGACGTGGGCTGGCAGTAGCTCATGCCCTGCACACTTGCACTTCAAGCCACATTCGGTTAGCGGTGATCCGTGTAGCACTGGTTGCACGCATGAGCTGTGAAGTGTGTGGTCTCTGAACGGCTCTCCACTTTCAACAGGACAGATGAGGATAAATGGGATGCCCAGCAAGAAGGCACTTTGTCCAGATGCCTCCTTTGAGGTATCTGCTGCTAATTTAGGGTTTAGAGGTCTGCAGGCCCCTTGTTCCCTTCTTTTCGCTGATGTTTGCATGTCTTTAGGGCATGTGTGGCCTCGACTCGCACGTCTGTGTACAGTTGCTGCATCCCCAGGCTCAGCGGGGCTGAGGCTGGTCTTTGCGGGTCCTGCTCTTCCTAGGATCAGTCTAACGTGAAGCAGCATCGTTGGCTTGGCTCCCACGGGCTGCACAGGAGCCCTTGACATGGAGGGCACCACCAACCCTGCCCGTGCTTCCAGTACCCCAAAACAAAGTCAGAATAATCTCTTGAACCCCACCATGGGAGGCTAATCCAGGTGCTCGCCAGCTCCACCAAGGAGCCTAGGTGTGGGCTTCTGGGAGGAGATGCAGAAGGAGCAGGTTTGGGGTCCAGTGCAGCCCGTGCTGTCCAAAAACACCTCCATCGTGCCCCACAGATCTACAGCTCATCCTCTCTCCCCTGTATCCCTGCAGGCTGAGACCCGAGCAGAGTTTGCCGAGCGGTCTGTGGCGAAGCTGGAGAAAACCATCGATGATTTAGAAGGTAAAATGTCCTTGCCTGCCCCGCTTCCCTCACGCGTGGGGAGCACAGGCGGCCTGGGAAGGCCTGGGGTGCTCCGCAGTGGCCATCTGGGGAGGGATGGGGCACAGCCGGGGTGAGGACAAAGCACCCCGCAGGTGCGCTGGGATGGGTGGCCCAGGGTGTGGGGTGGCCACAGCTCCCCGGGACAGGGGAAGGCCGGGATGCCGCGGGGAGGAAGAGCCACGGGGTGTCGTG